TGTGTGTGTGTGTGTGTTCTGTAATCTGTGTCAGTGTATCTCTAAAACGTCAAGTTATGAGAGGCAGCCAATGTTGGTATATTTGTGGAACAAGTACAATTAATTACTCTATTATTTCGTGTGGTATGCAGCCTTGATGCCTCTAGATATGTTGTTGGCTGATGATTTTCTATATTTAAGTCAATTCCTACCACTGTTCTATTTGCCTGATCTGACATTGTCTATACATACAAGCAGCCTGCATATAGCTACATTCGGGGGGAAAGATAAGACGATGGCATGATGCAGTAAATAAAGTCAATTAGTCCAGTAACTACCCAGAACCTGAAAATGCAGCACAATCTTCTCATCAAAACACAAGGATACTGGAATCATAATCAAATCATGTAAATAAAAGATCCTACCGTCTCCCTATAAGTGATCCCATTTTCCTCGAAATCACTAATTAAGGAGTGAACAGGTAGGAGCGCCAGGTGCCCTCCCTTTTCTACCAGATTGCCTAATAGGAGCAGGCTAGGGATATGAGATTTAAGCCAGGGCGATTTCAAACTGCCAGAGGAATTGTGTCTATGCGGGTTGCAGCGAGCTAGCTCAACGGAAAGGATTACAAGCCGTTGGACTCAGCCGTTTACCAATTCGCCACTTATCCTATTACACTGGGTACTATTTATACTTAGTCACTTAAGAACCCAATCCAGCTCCGCGTAGCGTGTCGATGGCTGATGGACCCGCTTGCTGGGCCGGCCCTCTTTAGTTATGAACGGTGCTTCTTCCTGCAGGCTTGGAATAGAGGCCTTGGTGTTAACACTCACCTTCCCTTGAAAACCAGCCTTTCCCCAAGCTGGGGCAAGTGGAAATTTGTGCTTGAGCTCCTCTAGATCTTCCCACGTAGCAAGTGTATCATGTTGATCATCACCACGGCAGCGTAGACGCCTCTGCAGAACTCGCACTGGAACTGAAAACTGAGAATCAACACGAGGAAGTTGTGATTGTACCTGACAATTTGGTCCGAGAGAAACATCAAATGTTGTTGTAAGAGATGCAACATCAAGTCTCAATCACGCAACCAAGTCTCTAGGCACGGTATCGTGCAAGTGTCGCTTGCCGAAATGCCAAAAGTGCGAGGAGACTGGCCATAAAGCACCTCAAATGGTGACTTCCCTTCATCTCTAATTTCTTCGTATAAGGAGTGGGGAATAGCACTCACACTAGCATCTACTTCACATAATTCATGATAACAGTGATCTCCTATCTTAAATGAGACAACAGGCATACCAACAACTGGTCTATGTTTATCTTTCCTCACAGGTTTAGCAATTCTAGCAACTTCTTCACAGAAGTAAATAACATGCCCATCCATATCTTCTTCCAAGAGATCTTTAACTATAGCAATGCTAGGTTCTGCTTTAATTTGTTCATCAGGTTTAGGTGTTCTAACATAGCTTTTGTTAACCACAGTTAAAACTTTAGCATGTTTTTTTATCCTAACAGGAAAAGGTGGTTTCTCAATATAAGCAGAAGGAACAACTGGATCAACATTATAAAGTATAGTTTCTTCTTTAATGGTACTGGTTCTTTAATTTCATCTTTAATAGGTGGATGATATTTAACCCACTTCTTTGTAGGAAGTTCAATATGAGTAGCAAATGATTCATAAAAGGAGGCTACTATATGAGAGTCAAGTCCATATTTAGTGCTAAACTTTTGAAAAGCATCGGTATCCATAAAAAATTTAACACAATCATACTTAAGCTTTATACCTGATACGTCTCCAACGTATCCACTTTTCCAAACACTTTTGCCCTTGTTTTGGACTCTAACTTGCATGATTTGAATGGAACTAACCCGGACTGACGCTGTTTACAGCAGAACTACCATGGTGTTATTTTTGTGCAGAAATAAAAGTTCTCGGAATGACCTGAAAATACGGGCGTGCTGCAAGTACGGGCGCCTATGGTCAATCGCTAGCAGTAGCGCCAAACATTCCTTCTCGTAAGCAGAGACTCCAAGGTTCCTGGGTGCCAGCGCTTTGCTCAAGTATGCAATGGGATGAAAGTCCTGCATCAGCACCGCTCCTATCCCCAGTGCACTGGCATCCGTTTCCACCACAATAGTTTTGGTGAAATCCGGCAGTGCGAGCACGGGAGCTTCACTAAGAGCCTTCTTCAGCGCACCAAATGCCGCATCAACCGTAGGTGTCCAGGCAAACACCACGCAAGGAAGGTGGCGACCGTGCCGTCGATTGGAGGCGTCTCCCACCAAATTTCTTGGGCTGCGAGGTTCACCACGGCCAGGCGGAGCTAGTCGGCACATCTACGAGGCTCGGCAGGGCGGCTGGCCGCGCGCGCCGAGAGGTGAGGCGGAAGTGGAACAAAAAATCCGGGAGCCATGGTTGGCTTTATTCATCCTGCTTCTCCAGCACCAAGCAAATTGAGGGGCTTGACTCTGTCTGTTATCCATCCCAAAGCTTCACTCTCGGTCTCTCCTGCCCAAGCTTCACGGCGTCGTGTGGTTCGACGGGGCACAACCCCAACACCCGCTCCGCTGTGCCATCCGGTACGCCAGGTTTTCATGCACATCTATTATTGTTCAGTGCATTGTGTGTTAACTTGCATCATCTAGTTGTTAGTTGCCTGTAGAATGTGTGCAGTATGCCTGAGCTAGTAGGGAAATTTTCAGTGCTTAGAAAAATAGAAATAACAGTTCTTAACAGAGTATGAAAATGGATTATAGCAAGCCAGCACAAATAAGAAGAAGAATAAGTTTTTCTTCATAGGAAAAAAACAAAGAAGAAGAAGTCTTAACAAAGCATTAGGAAATTGGAAAAATGGGATAAGTTTCAGTACTTGGCATAATAGAAACCACAAGCCAGGAAAACCCGCTGTCCATGCCTCATCATGGCCATACAGACTACGGGGCAAAAAAATCTGGCGCATCCTATCATTACAAACCAAGTACTAGGAACAACAAGCAGTTTACAAGTCTAACAAAAGTACTAGGAACAACGCTATCATTCAGTGCTCGGCAGCCTCAATATCAACCTTTAGCGGCTCTCCCATTGTCTAGATTCCGCCGCCTCCCATGCCTACGACGTCCTCTCCGACATTGTAATGTATGGGAGGCCTCGCTTCTCACCCTGGCACCGTAGTTTAGTACTCCGTCCGAAAAAACTTGTCCCTCAAATGGATCTATCTAGCATCGAGTTAGTGCTAGATACATCCATTTAGCGGACAAGTTTCGGACAAGCTTTTTCGGACGGAGAGAGTATAGGTTTGATGTATGCTTTGTGCGTTGTTTTCCAATGTCTGTCATCTCGCTCAAGGCCGGACATAAACTTGGTGGATTAGGGGTGAGGGGTGGCGCATGGTCGCTAGCCATCTCATGGCTCCACCATTTGAGATTCATCCTTGTATGTCTTTTTCATATTTTATTCATTTAATCTTTTTGACTTGTTGACCATGTTTACTAGTTATAATTCTGAAGCAATGAGTAAAATGTATACTATACTCTCCGTAAAGTATAAGAGCGTTTAGATTACTGTGATCTAAACGCTCTTATATTACTTTTCAGAGGGAGTAGTTGCAACATGACACACAAGTCCCTTTTATTTGGGGTGGGGCAGGGGTGATTTAGACAGAGAAGTCTTACATGATTTGCAACGAGTGACGGGTATTTGTTAAGCTATTCCAAGTCAACATTCTACCGTAGAGCTTTCGCTGCCATGGAAGGTTTTTTTGGTTTCCAACTAAAGTCATCGTCAGATTAGAAGTAGCCTTTTTGGTGTCCACAAATAGAAAGCAGTTACAAGCAGATAGCAATTGATGATAATGGAAGAAGCAAACACTATGAATCTGCTTCTGTGGAATTCTAGCTATTAATTTGAAATTGTAAGCAGACTTTGCTGAATTCTGCCAATTGGTGGTAAGCTTCCTGGAAATTGACTGAGAACGACACTCTGGGTCAAGTTTCACAGTCCAAGGAATTGCTTAAGTTGAGCTGGAATAAGTTGAATAGGCCGAACAATTTATGAAGGGAAAAACCCAACAGTTAATCCTCTCTTAATTTTCAGCACAGTAGTGACTAGTTTGCATTCTGTTAAACGACCAATTATTCAGAACCATAATGGCGTTAGGTGTGTATACCTTTCAAGCAGCCTAGCTAGCTATTTGAGGTGGAGTCTTGTTGCCTACCGGCCTAAAAACCTCTATATCCAAGCACCACCACGAGTTACTCAGAAAGTTCAAACTCCCACAATCCTTCCAGCTCCGGGTGGCTGAGTATTCTTCCAAGCTCCCATCCATGGCTCCTCTCGTCTTCCTCCTCCTATTCGGCCAGATCCTACTCTGCACAGGCGTCGACACCATCAACTCCACCACACCCTTGTCCGGGTCACAGATGATTGTGTCCCAGGGCAGCAAGTTCACCTTGGGCTTCTACTCCCTACAGAAAATGCAAAGTAACAACTTATTTTCCACCTCTGGCAATTACTACATGGGCATATGGTACTACACTGTACCAGTGTTCACCCCCGTGTGGATGGCAACCGCCGACGTGCTGGTGTCTGACCCGACCACGGCGCCCTTGGAAATCGCCAAGGACGGCAACCTTGTCCTCTATGATCATGCCAATAACTGGCAGC